AAGATTAAAGCAGTGCGTGATACTCCAGCACCCAAGAATGTAACTCAGCTTCGCGCATTCATTGGCCTCGTAAATTATTACCACAGATTCTTACCAGACCTAGCCTCGGTAATGAGACCACTCCACCAGMTACTGGAACAAGGTAAAGCATGGCAGTGGACGAAAGCATGTGACAAAGCCTTTGACAAGGTAAAAGAGATGGTCACGTCAGATTTRGTATTGTGTCATCATGATTCCAAGAAGCCTATGCGCTTAGCATGCGACGCGTCACCGTATCATGGCGGTTTAATCTTCCATGTTATTTCCGATCGTCCCATATCATCGATGGACAAGAAAGACCAATAACATTCGCTTCTCGCACCTTAACGAAAGCAGAGAAAAACTACTCTCAAATTGACAAAGAAGCATTAGCAATCATCTTTGGAATCAAACGATTCCACACCTACCYTTACGGAAGACAGTTTACGTTGGTTACGGATCATCAACCACTAGTAACCATCTTCAGCCCAACCAAAGGCATACCAGTGACCACAGCTACAAGRSTACAGCGATACGCTATGTTYCTATCAGGCTATACTTACGACATAGAGTATAGGAATACTAAGCGACACACTAACGCTGACGCCCTTTCAAGACTACCGTTCGAAGTAACCCCAGAGAATCAAAAGGAAGAATCTGTTGACATTTTCCACTTAAGTCAGTTTGAACAGTTACCAGTGACAAGCGCAACAATCAGACGAAAGACAACAATGAACAAGATCTTAAGTAGAGTCTATGAACAGACCATGTCTGGATGGTCAACTAAGCCAGACGACAAGGTGCTACTGGCGTATTACAATCGTCGAGATGAAATCACAACGTATCAGGGATGTCTCATGTGGGGAATACGAGTAATCATTCCAGACACCCTAAGGAAACAAGTACTGGAGGTCATCCATTCGACTCACCTAGGCGTAGTAAAAATAAAAGCCCTCGCTAGAAGTCACATCTGGTGGCCAGGAATCGACTCCGAAATTGAACAGATAACCAAAACCTGCTCTGGTTGTAACAAAGTACGAAACAACCCAACAAATGTACCCATCCACCCGTAGGAATGGCCAAGTTCACCTTGGGAACAGATCCATATAGATTTTGCTGGACCATTTATGAACAAACAGTTTTTGATTATAGTCGACGCACACTCTAAATGGCCAGAGGTGTTTCCAATGAACAAGATCACAGCAACAAGCACTATTGAGGTACTACGCTCAGTATTCGCAAGAAACGGCGATGCACAGCAGCTCGTTTCTGACAACGGACCGCAATTCACGTCAGAGGAATTTCAAGCATTCATGAAGAGCAATGAATTAACCATTTTAGATCAGCACCGTTCCATGCTGCAACGAATGGACAAGCAGAAAGATTCGTGCAAACCTTCAAACAGAGTATGAAGGCAATGAAATCAGAATCAGCCTCTTTAAACAAGAAGATAGCAAATTTCCTACAGATGTACCGCAACACACCTCATGCTACCACTAACGAAACACCTGCCAAAATGTTCCTTGGTCGAAACATACGTTCCCGTCTGGATTTGATGAAGCCAGATGTAAAAAGCACAGTGCAGCAGAAACAAATGAAGAAAGCACTCGAGAAGAAGACACCTATACGCTTGTTTGATAATGGACAGCCAGTGATAGTTCGAGACTACAGAGGACAAGACAAGTGGGTTAATGGAACCATCAACACACAACTAGGACCATTGATGTATGAAGTCAAAACAGACGCTGGAAGTTATTGGAGAAGGCACACAGACCAAATCCAAGAAAGGAAGCATGATGAAAATTACAGCGACCCCCAACCAAGACCAGAAGATGTCTGCCCAGCAGTAGTAAAACAGCCATCAGTCAGCACAGCCCAGACAAGCAAGACAGTTACCCCCGCTAAGAGCAACATGGCGCAAGAAGGACAAGGCAAAGGGCATCGACACCCAACAAGGCACAGAAGCTCACCAAAACATTATATGTATGAACAACATTAGGGCAGTCATAAGAGAAATGAACATTCAGAGACATTATTATTGAGTTATTTTTTCTATCATAGTGATTCATAAATAAAGAAGGGAGGAAATGTTAGATCTGCATTGATTGACACCTGTAATTGTATATGACGATTGCATAATAAAACACAAATACACCACAGATGGCGCTTAGGAAGGGAAGAGGGGTTAACCGTTTTTGTTTGCGTACATGAGACTGACTTACTTTGCTTCTCTTCAGATGCTACGTCATCATATTGTGTGTTTTCACTTTCTTCTGTGGAAAGTAGAAGAATTAGAGAGAAGTAAAGTCGAAACAACGAATGAACGAACGATGAATAAATTAAAGAAAAATTCAAACCATACTCTTCATTTCATACCATGATCATGAAGTCTCCC